ACCGCCCCCAGCTCCACCCGCGCCCAGAAAATGGGGATCGGAAAATGCTTCCTGGAAAGAGCGCGAGGCGGGAAGGAAAGGAAGACAAAGATGCTTTCTTGCCGGGTGCTACCTCCCCCGGCCCCAAAGCAAGGACAGTCGGCAAAACGGGCAGGCACACCTGGGATCTGGGTCCTTCGGGGATGGCTTCGGGGACAGGGACTGGAGCCCAGGTTCTGGAAGCCTGGGCGGCGCCCTGGGGAGCACACAGATTCCCGGGTGTGCCCCCAGACCTGCTGGCTTGGGAGCTGTAGGGGTCTGGTCCTCCAGCGGGTAGAACAGGTGAAGGCGAAGCTCTACTGCGCCGGTACCCTGCCCCGGGCGCCGCGCTGCCCCCTGGCGGGCTCGAGAGCCCTTGCTGCGCTGAGGGGCTGTGGCGACCGCGCCCTGCTCTGCCCTTCCCGACTGCGTGCTGGGGCCCTGGAAAGAATCCCTTGAGAATCGCGGCTTCGGAAAACCCCTGTAGCAAGGAAGGCCCCCTGCTACCTCCACACCGCAGATCCCCCAGACGAGTTTTGGCGACCAGTTCTTATCTCTTGGTCCCTTGTAACCATCCCACCATCCGGTTTCGATACCAGGTGCTGCTTTGGTCCCAACCCCAGGGCCCCACTCTGGCCCTTCCTCTCCTTGCTGTCTTGAGTTGGTGGACCCTAACCTCAAACACTCCCAGACACACTCATGTATCCCAAAGAGAGTCACTATCCACTACACAGTGTGAATAATCCCCTTGAAGCCCATAAAGGTCGTGTAAAGGCTGTCGTGGGCCCTTTCATTCAGTCCCATGAAGATGTGATAATCTGCAGGTCTACATGGGAAAGTGAACAGGGTGCCTTCTCCCGGCAGAATTGGGGCTCAAAGACCTCCTTTGCCTGAACCCTTCTATTTGCCCTGTTTTTCAGCTGCGTTTGGCAGATTAGGGTGAACCTATGGTGCTGGAGTTTCTGAAGGGGAGTAGAACAGGAGAAAAAAGGGAACTGAGAGGGTGAAGAAAGCCTCTTTCTACTGCCCTGAGGAGGGGAGCTGACACCCTAAGGAGAGGGCCTGGAGGAAAGCTGGGTCCTCAGCTGGGCTAAGGGCGGACATAGTGTGGATTTCCTGTGACCTCACCCCTCATCTCTCCTCTTCATCTCTTCTTCTTAGCCCAAGTTACAAACAAAAACACCAAGGGCATAAACCCAAAGCAGACCAACCACGAGTTCCAGAATCATTCCCCATCCACATCTTGAGGTGAATGTATGTTCGTTGTTTATTTTTCACCTACTTAAACATTCTGGTCACTCAACCAACAACAAGTTTAGCTTCATCTCAACTTCCGTGGCCCAGCTTTTCTCCAAATGCCAGTAAGCAGATAGGAACATTTGGAAAGAAAAGAGTCCATGGCTTTAAATATTAAGTGTGAAGGCCAAACGTGCACATCTTCTGGCCTTGTCTTACTTGAATGTAGATAAATCACATAGGAAACCAGATTACTAGGCCTGAAGATGACCCACACGATGCCATTCGAATGTGGATGTGGATGAACCAGCTAGTTTGAGGCTGTTTCCTTCAACAATTGCCCTTGAACTCTTCTGTGGGAAAGCTCTGGACCAAGCACTGTGAATTAGACTCCATTCCTCTACTCAGGAGCAGTAGTATCTGATGTCCGAAGAGTCAAAGGTTCAGGCCCACCCTTAACCTCATTCAGGACCCTAAATCTGGTGGTCTAGAGTCAATTCACTGTTCAGAGAATTTTTTATTTATTTATTTTTTATTCAAACACTTTTTGAAGAATCTTGAAGTGGGGAAGATCCTTCTAAGTATGCTACAAAGTGCATGATGGAAAAACACAATAATAACACAGAAGTGATAACATAAAAGATGGCCAAATTTGACTACAGAAAAAAATCCTGCCTAATAATCACCTCCATGAGCAACTCAACAACAAATCAGGAAAAAAGTATTTGTAACGTATATCACATTTAATTTCCCTCATACATAAATAAGATTGAGAAATATATAACAAAAAAAGATCAAGCCAGATGCAGTGGCTCACACCTGTAATCCAGGCAGCTCAGAAGGCTGAGGTAGAGGATTGCACATTCAAAGCCAGCCTCAGCAATTTATCGAAGTCCTATGCAACTTAGAAAAACCCTCTCTCAAAATTTAAAATTAAAAAACAGACCCGGTGAGGCGGGGGCAGGTGCTGGGGCTATAGCTCAGTGACAGAGCACTTGCCTAGCATGTGTAGGCACTGGGTTCGATCCTTAGCACCACATACAATTAAATAAATAAAATAAAAGTACTGTGTCCATCTACAACTGAAATAAATAAATAGGTAAATAGATAAATAAAAATGACACTGACATTAAAGGTACTATTTTTTAAAAAACGAACTGGGGATATGGCTCAGTATTAAAAAAACAGAAGAAGAAGAAGAAAAAAAAAAGAAAGAGAAAGAAAAAGATGGGGGCTGGGGATGTGGCTCAAGTGGTAGCGCTCTGGCCTGGCATGTGCGAGGCACTGGGTTCCATCATCAGCACCACATAAAAATAAATAAAGATTATTGTGCCCACTAAAACAAAAAAAAATAAATATGAAAAAAGGAAAAAGATCAACTCAATTTTTAAAAATATACAAAGGGAAAGGGGCAGTTCATAAGAAACAAAAATACAAATGAATTTAAAATCTGAAAAGATGTCCTTCCTTAATCATAATAAGAAATGCAGGTCTGGGGTGTAGCTAAATGGGAAAGCTCCTGCCTAGTAGGCTTGAGGCCCTGAGTTCCATCCCCAAAAAAGCAAAATCAAAACAACATAACTATACTGAGATCCCTTTGCTTTTACCTGTCAGAGACTCAGAAGTGCAATAACACAACATGTTCCAGAGAGAAAGGGGAAATTGGCAGGCTCCCTCATTGGCTGTGGGAGTATAAATTGTACACCTTCTTCTGGAGGAAAAATAGATCACTTCAATCAGAACTACAAATGGACAAGTTCTGTGTTAGCTTTCCCTTATGGTAATAAATACTTGAGATAATCAACTTATTAAAAGAAAAGATTTGTTTGGGCTCACAGTTTTACAAGTCCCTTTCCATTTGGCCCCGTTGCTTTGGGGCTTTTGGTGAAGCTCCATCATGGTGGAAGCACGTGGTGGAACAAAGCTGCTCACTTCATGGTGTCCAGAAAGTGAAAGATAGGAAGAGACCAGGGTCCCACAGTTACCTATAAGGGCTTGCCCCCAGTAATATAAGGTCCTCCCACTAGGATCCACCCCAAAATGTTCTACCATCTTCCATTAGCACTAATCCGGGGACCAAGCTCTTAATACATGCACCTTTGTGGGGCAGTTATCAAAACCATAGGAGGCCCTTTGACCTAAGAATTTTATATATATATTACATGTGCAAAATAGTCATAGGCAGAGTTATTCATTGTGTTAATGTTCGTTTAATAAGTAGCCACAAACACCATCTCTGTGAATAGAGGATTATTAAGTATATGAGGACACATCTGAACACTGAAATATTATGCAGCCATAAAAGGAGGAAATGGATGATGAATTCACATGAAAAGTTCTCCAAGACGTATTGTTCAGTGAAAGAACAAAAAGCAGAAGATTTGTGTATTATGCCACCATGTGTAAAAGAAAAAAAAAGGAAAAAGGAAGAAAGATTGAGACAACAGATGCTCTTCTGAAATCATAAGCTTCTCTGAAATAATCACAAGAAATTTTAAAAAATGTTGGTCACCTGTAGGAAGGAAATTAAAACAGGAAAGACAAGAAAACTTTTCATTGCTGTTTTTAAATCTTGAATTATGTAATATTATCTTCTCTAATTTTTAAAAACAATTATTATTCATAGCCCTGGTTCTTAATCCTTTGGAGGATAATGATCTGTGAAATTTCTGTGTGGCTAAGGAAGCTGCTCACTTCATGGTGACAGGAAGTGAGAGAGAGAGCTATCAGGATCCCATAGTACCCTTCAAGGGCTCACCTCTCCAATGACCTAAGTTCTTTCCCTAGGTCCTGCTTCTTAAAGTTTCCACCCCATTCCCAATAATAACAAGCTATCTAAGCCTCTAGCACAATGTCCTTTGGGGGACACTTGAAATTTCTGGTCTGTCCTTTTTTTCCATGGGGAGGGGGCAGACCCTCTAGTCCTGTGTGGGAGCTCTGAATCCACCTTCTTGCTTCCTTTCTGAGTAGATAGATACCTCTATAACTGGACCACATGGCTGTGCTACCTACTGCCACCTAGTGACAGTATATATGAATTGCAGGATTGCTGCCAAGAGGGTTCTGCCCAAAGGAGCAACTTGACCAGCCACATTTCCTGCAAGGCATTGTGACGTACTGCCAGAAACTTGTCATTCCTCAGCACTCACCATATATTATTTTGTAAATCCTTATATAAGATAGAAGATTAATATTTGGTTTATAGGCTGGGGAGATGTTATGGTTTAGATATGAGGTGTCCCCTAAAAGTTCATGTGTTAAACACTGCAAGAAAATTTACAGGTGAAATGATTGGGTTATAAGAACCTTTACCTAATTAGTGCATTAATCCACTTGATTAACTGGGTGGTGCCTGTAGGCAAGTAGGGTGTGGCTGGAGGAGGTGGGTCCCTGGGGCATGCCTTTGGAGTATATATTTTATTTCTGGTTCTGCCTCACATCAGGCCCAGAGCAATGGAGCTGACTGTCTGTACTAAGACCTTTGAAACTGTGAGTGTCAAATAAACTTTTCCTCCTCTATGTTGTTCCTTGTTGGATCTATTGGTCACAGCAGAAAAAAAAAAAGCTGACTAAAACAGAATGGTGTTCTCTTATAAAACTACCAATAACACAATGACTTTTCTTTCATTTCTATGCTGAGTGTATAAATGCATTAGAAGGATAAAGATATGTCTTCTCTCTATGGGAATAACAGAAACTCTCCCCTCCACAAAGTTACTGCTTGGCAAGAGAAGCCTTGGTTCTTACCTCTCTTGTTATACCAACTACTTGAGCTCCTCTTCCTCACCTCTCCCTTCATCCTTGTGTAGTCAAAAGGGTCCTGAGCTAGAAGCTGGGGTCCTATATTCTGGTCCAACTTAAGGCACCAGTCAGAGTGGGGCCTCAGGCAAATCATCCAGGAGGGAGGTTTGTGTTGCAGTTTCCTCCTCTGTTCAGATGTGGAGGCTGGCCTTGAAAATCCCTAAGGCCCAGGATGTCTAAGAAGGAAATACAATCTAAACCACACTATCAGAGTCTTTGTTCTTTTGCCTTCAGGATTTTTCATTTATACGTATCAATTGCATATAATAATAGGGTTCAGTGCATGCATACAA